GAATTCTTGATATGTCTAGCATGTTGGAGCCTAATTTTTATGAGGTTGAAATTCTATTTTCTTTCTTGATTGACTTGCTATTGAAAATTGCCATGGAATTCTATTTGTCTTAATTGCTATCCATTTCTTGATGACAAGCAATAGCTTAAGTCTGGGGGTGTGATAACTCCGTAAAAAGGCTACTTTTAAGGCTCTTTTCAATTAAGTTATTATTTGTTTAAAGGCTCATTTAGGTCATTTTAGATGTATGTAGTTACATATAGTTGCATTAATGGTGGTTGTGCTATTTTATTGTGTTAAGGTATTATATGAGGAGGAAGGTGTGGTTTTCAGTGATGTACAGGAAATAAAATGCTGAAGGATAAGCTCGGAAGGAATATCATGACATCACACGTTGCAGAAGTAGATTGGAATGCCTTGACATTTCTGATGCAGAAAAAGACAAAAAGATTTTTTTATAAGAAAACAGTTGGCAAGACACGTTTCTGATAGTTATAACTGCCTATTGGGGACCACTTCCATCTGGGAGGATAGACCTTACACCTAAGGAGTGACTCTAAGGGTATGATGGGTATTTTGGAGTGCTAAATCATATAAATACCCTTGGATATTTTTTATTTAATACACCTCACATGAGAGAGGAAAAGAGGGGACACACTTACATTCTCCAGCTAGATTTTCTTCATCTTCTCCACCATTTTCTTCCCTCCGTTTCATTAGTAGTGTTCCTCCATTAACGAGCTCCAAGGAGTGGCGAGCTAGGCGTTCAAGATGAGCTAGCGAGCTAAGGTGATTCGTGGCGGTCGAGGATAACACCAACATTGCACGTCGAAGGCTTCTTCCTCCTTCCCCTTTGCTATTATTTCTCATTTAATTTGGGTTGTGGAACGAATAATTTTTATGAATTTTTTCATAGATTATTCGAACCTCATCATGAACCAACCTTATTTGGCGGGAGTTCATTATGGATGTTTAAGGATTTATTTCAATTGATGATTGTTATTTTCTATGATTTTATTTGTTTTGTTTATGATGCTTAATGTCCTAAGGTTGTAGGAGCTATGAGAGTAGCCATTCCTTAGGAAGATATTTAGTGTTTAAGAGAAACTAAATAGCTTATCTTTATTATTTGAGAGAAATTAAGGAGGATCTATATAAAAAATGTGTTTTAGATAGTAACTAAGCCTAATCCTAAGGCTATAATTTCAATTGACTAAAAGGAGTAGTGCTCGGTTGGGATGTTAGATGCTAGTGAAAAATACTGAATGGTATTGTCGTGACATATTCTATTCCACTAATGGAATCACTGTAACTACTAATGCCAACAGGTATTGCCATGGCATTATCATCCTGTTGAGTCCCCTGAATAGAGATAGCATAGGGCACTTTTAGTAAACTCTTTCGGGCATGTAAAACATAGAAGTGCGATCATTTTGAGAAGTTAGATTTAAATATCCTAGTGACTCCTATCATTCATTCCCATTGCAACTTGTTGTGTGAGGATTAGCAAACTATCATTTATTTATTATTTCACAATTTTTATTGTCTTGACATTTTTATCATTTTCATCATTATACTATTCTCTATTTTGCCACAACATCACCACTTGTTATCACATCACACCATCATTTCATTTTTACCAATAATATTGCCTTGATATTTCTCATTTGTATGTACCATTACTAATTATACTTAGATAGAGTAGAACTTTGTTGTGGATAAACTTTCTAATTTTCACCAATCCCTGTGGAGACAATACTCACTCATCACTTTTTTACTTGAGAAATTGTGTATACTTGCACATTATTTGCATATAATTTGATAGTACTCATAAAACTCGAACAGAAGCCTACCCAAGGGTCAACTTAGGTCCGTAAGGAATTAACAGCTTGATCATAGCTGAACCTCCATACTCCAAAATCCTACTCAAACAGTATCTCAATAAAAAAAATTCACATAGTCAGCAATAAATTTCATGATCCATAAATTGGCATAATCAATTTTTCTAATGAAAACAAGTAACCAGATATCATAAATAAAATAACCATATTTCATAACCAATCAACTAGTAAATCAGTAAATCATAATATCAAGTTGTTAAAAGAATCAGTAAATCAATAACTTCGGTAAATCACATTTCAAAATAGATAAAACAATCATATAGCACATAAGGAACACAATTAGCAATAAGGGGATATGTCAGCAAGTCTACTAAGCACCTGCCTCGCCATGCTCTACAGCAGTGTTCAAACCTAATTCATAATGCAACAGTGTTATTATTCGAATAATATTTTAATTCAAATATTCTTAGGGCTTATGGATCATACGAATAATCACTGGCTCACGGGGTCGAACGAATTAAAAGGTGCTAGGTCTAGCTGTCGAACAATCGAGGGAGTCATGAGTACCTTCACATAATAACACATGAATTAATCCTTCCATAATTTAAAATTCGCTTAAACAAAATGCTTATATATATATATGCATGTTAAGGTTTAACGATCGATTCAGAGGCTTTCGTGTTCAAATTTGACAAAACAGACTTCGAATTCAGACTTAGGACGATGAAAAACATAAAATATGACTTTTCAGATTTTTTTTGTCAAAGTCAAAATCAACACTAGTCAAAGTCAACTCTGATCAACGGTCAGACGGTTTGGGTTGACTCGGTGGGTTTGGGTTGACTTGGTTTGGTCCGAATTGAATCTGACTAGTTTGAGTTGACTTAGACCGATTCTAGGGTGTTCTAAGGCTGAGGAGGATCCCCACGCATGTTTCTAGTGTTTGGCGGCATGTGGTAACAGAGACGGGGTCGGGTTGGACGGCCGATCACTCAACCAAATCCAACTCACTAAAACAAACCCATGTTAACTCATAAATAAACCAAAAATCCAATCAAAGTTTGTGAAATATCCGAATTTAGTGATCAAATTTACCCACGCCAGTGATGAAGGAAAAAAATGATGATGAGGTGACCCAAGGGTTGGGTCTTGAGCATACGACGATGAGGAGGTTAACGACGTAGGTGGTGTGGTGAACTTGTGTCTAGACTGGCCGAAAATCACGAAAAACTGAGGCGATAGGGGTAGATTTCGATGAATATTTAGAGAGTTCTCAATGACAATCGACGTACGCATCTCACTACTCAGACTCTTGGGTTTTGGTCAAAGCAAGGCGATAATTATGATGGGGGTGGCGGTGCACTCAATAGCGGCCGGATGACATTGAATCAGTGAAGGGGGCAGTGGCGGCTAAGGATTTGGGGGTTTTTTGGGTTTCCAATCTGGAAAAGGGGATTGTTTTTGGTATTATAAATCAATCTAGATTATTATAAAAGATATTTTTCTTGTTTTAATTATCAATAATTCCCTCTTCTATATGGCTAAGGCAGGGGTGGCCATAACCCTAAGGTCATGGGTTCAAACCACTTAGGCATCTCTATTATTATTATTTTTCTTTACCAACCAAAAAAAGGAAATTCAAGGCTAGGTCCCTAAACTTCCTAGATATTCAAAATTAACTAGTAATTTTTAAAAGTATCCATTTTGATCCCTTAACTAAATTAAATAAATAAAATATATTTAAGTTAAATTTTAGGGTGTGACAACTCTCCCCCCAAAGAAAATTTCATCCTCAAAATTTACCTGAATCAAATAGATGTAGAAACTGAGTCTTCATCGATTCCTCTATATCTAGGTAGATTCTATTGAATTACAGTTACTCCACTAAAGCTTTATCATTGGAATAATCTTGTTCCTCAATATCCTCTCATCTCGATCCAAAATTTGAACAAGCTCCTTATCATAGGATATATATGGCCTCAACTCAACATCCTCTAACTGAATAATATGAATAGGATCTGGACAATAGAGCCTCAACATGGACAAGGGAAAGACATCGTGAATACAATAACAATAGTGTCATTAGTCTCTCGGACTAACTTAGGCCCTATAGTCTTTCTGTCTCACAATTCAACCCAACAGATCAGGGTGTGACATCTATGCCCATATAGTGCTTCATACGGTGACATACGAATGCTAGCCTGATGACTATTATTGTAAGCAAACTCATCCAAGGGAAAAACTTCCTTCCAGCTACCATGAAGATCAATCATACAACCCCTCAAAAAATCATCGAGAAGCTAATCACTCTCTCAGATTGACCAGTCTGCGAGTGGAAAGCTCCACTGAAATTCAATCTCATACCTAGAGCCTCTTGTAGTGCTTTCTAGAATCTCAAATTAAATCTCAGATCTCGATTAGAAAAGATAGATAATGGAATACTATGCAATCTAATGATCTATAATCTAGCCAACTTGTCCAAAGAACAATTAACTCGTATATGAATAAAGTGAATTGACTTTGTAAGTCTTTCAACAATCACCTAGACAGAGTCTATTTTAGAATGAGACAAAGGTATATCAGTAACAAAATCCATCGTAATATGCTCTCATTTTCACTCGGGAATCTTGATAGGCTATAACAAACGTGAAAGATGTTGATGTTTTAACTTAACTTACTGACAAGTCAAACATTTAGCCACAAAATCAGAGATAGATTTTTTCAATCTGACCCAATGGTATATCTCTCTTAGATTCTGGTATATATTATCTCCACCGAAGTGTATAACATAAGGGCTACTATGAGGCTCATTGAGGATAGTGTGTCTCAAATATACATCATCAGATACACAATATCGACCCTTGAAGCATAAAACTCTATCCTGGTCAAAAGCATAATCTGAGGTAGAACCTTGCTCAACTTGCTCAATAATGGGGAGCAAGGAGCTATCAAGAATCTGTTTGGCCTTGATCTCATCAGCCAAAGTCGGGTTAACCTATAATTATGCTAACAAAATGCCATCATCATATAACTTCATCCTAATAAATAAAGACCTCAGATCAGTTATCACCTTCCAGCTTACAGCATCCGCAACAACATTAACTTTACCCGGATGATAGTCAATCTTGCAAGCATAGTCCTTCAGAAGCTCAAGCCAACAACACTACCTCAGATTAAGTTCATTATGGGTCAAAAGATACTTTAAACTCTTATGATCATTAAAAATGTAACACTTCTATCTATAGAGATAGTGTCTCCTAATCTTCAAAGCAAAGATCAATGTTGCCAACTTCATATCATGGGTCATGCAATTACACTCATGCAGCTTTAGTTGTCGGGATGTATAAGTGACTACTCTCCCCTCATGCATCAAAACACAGCCAAGTCCAGAGTGTGAAGCATCACTATACACAATAAAATCTTTCACGGGCTCTGGTTGAGTCAAAACTGGAGCTTTAGTTAAAGCTATCTTCAATTTCTCAAAACTCTCCTGTGTGCATCACCTAGTCAAACGGAACATTCTTCTTCAATAATATCGTCAAATGGGAGACAAATATTGAGAATCCTTGGACAAAACATCAATAATACTTGCTAAAACCAAGAAAATATAGATCTTGGAGACATTCTTGGATCGCTTTCAACTCACAATGGCTTTAGTCTTACTCGAATCGACCTAAATACCTCTCACAGAAACAATATGCCAAAGAAACGATACCTCTCAAAGCCATAATTTACACTTATTTAGTTAGGCATACAAATGATGCTCTTTCAGTGTCCGAAAATTATCCTTAGATGCTCATCATGTTGTGCCTCAGTACGAAAATAAACTAGAATATCTTCTAAAAACTTATTATGTGTTGTGAGTACTATAAAATTATACGCAATTAATGTGCAAGTATACACAATGGAACAAGTAATATAAGGATGAGTGAGTATCGTCTCCACAGGGATTGGAAGGATCTTGAGTAAAGTTTATGCATTACTATAAAGTAATTAAGTATAGCTAATGGTATTCACAAATGATTATACCGAGGCAAATGAACTATGTATATATGGTGGAAGAATAGTAATGTGAATGAGTAACAAAAGGAAATGTTATGGCAAAGGAAAATGGTAAAGATAGCAAATAAATGAAATAATTTGATAATCCTCACACAGGAAACTACTTCGGGAATGAGTGATGGGGAATGATTTAAGGATGCTAAAACATATCTCTCTAGCATATTTAATCTATCTAAGATTCACTTGCTCGACGAGTATGCTAAAAGTGCTCCCGCTATCTCTAGTCAAAAGAACCTAATATAATAGAATGCCACGACATCTCCTCTAAGTCTCAACTATGGCTGCCTATTAGTCATTGAAATCCTATCTTAGTCTCTCCATGCACTAAGGGATTAGGATAAAGTACTACTACGCTTGTTCTAAGCTTAAGAAAATACTACACCCCATGCTTATGTGGATCTTACTTGTGTTTCTCTCGAATACTGCAAGTATTAATGACTAAGTTTCTCTCGAACACCTAGCCTTCATCTAAGTAATGGTCACTGTCATGCCTCCTACAAACTTAGAACATGAAGATTCGTAAGAAAAAAAGTAAATGCAAACGATAAATTTAAATCAACCATTAAAATAATATCAAATATCTATAAAATCAACCCCACCAAATAAGGTTAGTTCATGGTGGGGCTCTAATATTCCATGAAATAAAACATGAAAATCATTCGTACCAAACAACCTAAATAAAATAAATAAAATAAAATAGCAAAGAGATGGAGGAAAAATCCCTCGACGCATGCTGTCAGAGCTCCCCTCTGCTACCACGAACTGCCTTAGATCGCTAGCTCCTTTAGGACACCTAGCTCGCCACTCCCTCGAGCTTCACCAATGGAGGAACACCAAGAAAAATGGAAAAAGAAAAATGGTGGAGAAGATGATGATTTTTCTAGCTTGATAATCTCTATTTTCTTACACCCCTTTCTCTATTTTCTTCCACCCCTTTCTCTCATATGAGGTGTCCTTTAATAGTAAAAATATATAAGGGTATTCTTGAGATTTTTGCACTCAAAATACCTATCATATCCCTAAATTCATTCCTTGGGAGTGAATCTTATCTCCACAGGTGGTAGTGGACCCCTTCAGGTGGTTACATGTAGCAGACACGTGATTTGGCAGGTGTCATTTTTGAAAATATCTTATTGTCCTTTTCTGCGCCAGAAATGCCAAGGCATTTCAATCTGCTTCAACAATGTGTGATGTCATGACATTCTTTCCCAACTCACCCTTTTTGCATGTTATTTCCTGTAAATCACTAAAAACCACACCTTCATCTTCATATAACACCTTAATAAAATAAAATAACACAACCATCACAAATGCAATTATATGCAGCTACATACATCTAAAATGAACTATATGGACCCTGAAACAAACAATAACTTAAGTGAAAAGGCCTTAAAAGTATCCTTTTTACAGAGTTATCACACCCCCTAACTTAAACTATTGCTTTTTCCTCAAGCAATGTATAGCAATTAACAAAATCAAAATGTCATGACAATTTTCAACATAGGACAACAAGACAAAAATTTAATTTCAACCCTCAGAAAAATTGGCTTCGACATGCTAGATATATCAGAATTCATGTACTTTTCCCTAAGTTAAGATTCTTTATGGTGTTATGTGTGCGTGACTGTATTTAATCTATACTTAACAAATTTAAGAAATTTCTAATTGAGTTCCCAAGTTTTTCCATGACAATTACTCATTCATTAAGCACATTTATACTCCTTTTTCACTTAATACACATTTTATTTTATTTTTTTCTCTTTTTTTACATTGATAAAAGGGAGTCAGCTTATCACACCTACAATCCCACACTCTAGGTGAAAGGGAGCATACCTTCCACCCCCAAGCTAGTCAGGTACACTACAACAAATTTTCTTATTAGTGGCATCTAGGTTATTGTCACTAAAACTTCAATTTATGTCACTAGATGTATTTTTTGACGTAAAAGTCAATGTCACGGTGATCGTCACCCTAGGTGTGTCACTAAATGTCAAAAGTGACGATATATGTGTTATCTTCATGTATTGTTAAATATATAGTGACGATAATGGATAACATCACAATTTAATTTACCTTCAGTGACAATTACTTTTGTCACCAAATGATGTACATTTTCGTCATTAATAAATCATATCATCACCAATAACACAATAATTTCATTGTATACGTGACGAAAAGAAAATTGTCACATTGTTAGTGACGTAGTATATCGTCACCTAATAGTTGCATGGATGACATTTATATATAACGTCACTATATGATTAATATTCAATGACAACTAATTATGTCACTAAATTATGTAAAATTTCATTATTGATGATTTATATCGTCAAGGATAATACATTAAAATCAACCTGTATGTGACGAAAGAGATATTGTCAAATTTTTAGTGACATAATATAAATGTTACCTAATAATATTATTAATGACGTTTATGCATAACGTCACTTTATAATTTATATTCTATGAGAGTTGGTTACGTCACTAAATTAAATAAGATTTCGTTATTGATAATTTATATTGTCACAAATAATGCATTAAATCACCTTATATGTGACGAAAGAGATATTGTCACATTTTTAGTGACATAATATGTCATTACCTAATAATATTATGAATGATGATCATGCATAACGTCACCATATATAATGTCAGCAATATAGTGGCAAAACTAAAAATTGTCATATTTTTAATGACTATATATATTAAAATGAAATTATTTATACAAATCTAAATAAAAAATAATTCACTTATTGCAAAATAATAAGATTTAAACAAATATTTCACTAAAACATAATAATTTCATTTTTATAAATATAAAAATGTTTAAATGTTTACAGAAAATAAAAATAATATGATAATAATATGACTTGTGGAATATTTCGTTGTAGCAATCTCAATCCAAACCTTGAGTCGCTTGTGATTCTGTTGATGTTGAGTTTGTGGTATCATTTGAAGTTACAAATTAAAATAATCAACATTAGTTACTACAATTAATATTATATAATAATTTTTATTAGATTAACTATATTGTTTACCTGAAAATTGAAGTGATGGCACTTGAATTCCAACAGCTAACAAAGCAGATCTCATAGCTTCCATTTGAGTTTGAATCAATTCAAACTTTGACTTATAGTTATTAAGTTCATCTTCTTTATTCTTGAAACTCTTTTTTAACTCGATTGTATCCGTAATTGAATTTGTTTTCTTAGGCTTTGGCCCATATCCAAGCCCCGGAATGTATCCTGGTCTCGTACAAAGTACCTCATCCATTATATCATCAATATTATTTGGTTCTGCTCCTTCTTCAATTGGAGTTGATTGCAACTCCACCATTTTCTCCTAAAAAAAATCATTCATATAAAAAATATTCCTTAGATGAAAAATTACTATTTAATACTTAATTTTGTGAGGTCTTACATATTTTTCTTGTGCCTCAGATATTGTCCATCCTTTTTCATTTGAATAATGAGTTGCCTTGAAGAAATCAATCATATTTGGTTCTTCATCATCCTTGAGCTATATGATTTCAAAAATAAAAATTATACTTTAAAATAAAAATAAACTTTATAATAAATATCAAAAGTATCCAACTTACATAGCATATCGGCTAGCAACAAAAGCCCGAGATTCTTGATTAGGAGTTAACTTGACATTTCTTCTAACTCTTGCATTAGTTTCACACTTTCTCTTCAATTATAAACATGTTAAACATAATTTATAATTTATTATAGAAATAAAAAAAAGAGTAAAAATTTATGAATCACATAAATCAAAATACAGTAATTGTACCTGATCTTCAGATCACTAAGCAAATCACAAAGTTGTTCCCAATTTTCTTGTGTCAAGTTTTATTGTGTTGGTTTGTTTTGGCGTGCCACAACATCATTTGGGAATTTCTTAAAGTGCAAATGAACCTTATGCCGATGGTTCCTTGATAACTTTGACATAATTGACAGGACAACTCTTCACATAATCATCATCTAATTTCATCTCAAACTTTGACTAAAACATTAAAAAATATATAATTAGATAAATTAAGTACATAAATATTAAAAAAGAAGTATTAAACTAAATAAACTCACTTTGAGTCTCTCTAGGGCATGAAGTTTATCATTATCCTTCATATCCTTCCATTTTGTTGGCATTGATATGAATTGTCGTGAAATGATTCCAATTTCAGAAGATAATTTGGCTGATTGAACTGCATCAATAGGTCGACCCTTTCCCTCTGGTATCTCTACTATCAACTTATTCTTACCTTTCATGAGATTTTCTAGTACCTTACCTCGACTTGGTCCTCGTACCTTTTGATGTGATAAATTGGTGGAATCTATAGAAAAAAAATATTAACTTTAGAATAATAATAAAATAAATAAATTATTCAACGTTAAAGTCAAAGACTTTGCTACAAATAAAATAATATGTATATATACATATTCTTATCTTTTATATTTTTAACTATATCATTGGTACTACTCAATCCTCATTTGCTATTCATTTATATAAATATTGGAAATAAATGTTTACCTGAATTTTCAATTGTTGTATCTGTATCAATTTCTTCATATGTTTGATTTGGAGCATCAGTAACTTGTTGAGGTTATGATTCTTGGGTCCGATTTAGTTTACTGGAGACTTCTTGAGTTTCATTTTCTTGTGTTCGAATCCTTTTACGAAATACTTTGCCTGGTGTCATCCTAAAACATATAAAAAAATATTATAAGTAATATATATTAGCAAAGAGATCAGAATAATGCTGCTACCATTTGTGTTTAATAAAAAATAAAATAAATATTACATTTTATAGCCAATTAATCGAAACAATACTACTGAATTTATATAAATTACACGTGATATTCCACTACATAGATTTGCTTGAAATATGATTTCCCATATGATTAAGGCCACCAACAGTGAATTATATAAGTTCATGAATGTGTTTTATTTTGTATGATCTAAGCCAAGTTTTAATTAATTCACTGGTATGAGATTCAAAACACATTCATATCCTATCCCATAGCAGTACCGTTCATATCCTACCCCATAACAGTGAATTTTAAAGTTCCAATATGTTTTGGAATTAACCTTGGGCCCATGTACCGTTCTTATCCTACCCCATAGCAGTGAATTATATAAGTTCACGTGTTTCATGAATGTGATTAAGGCCCTATCATTATTAATAAAAACATAGCAGTTAATACTCCAAAAACTATCTTTCATTCAAAGCCTAGTACATGATTATATAGGTTTAAACCTGGCAGATATGAAAAGTCTTAACAAACTAACAGAGTCAACAACTTAATTCAAGTGCCTACCAGCTAAGTAAGCTAAACCGTTTTTCCTCACTTGCAGAAACCCTTCAATATACTACACTCATGATAACTTTATTAAGGAGATATTTCAATTTTGTCATCAATCTTTTAATTTTATCAATCATACTAACTATTTAAATGATATCAACACATGTTAAAATTTAACATGATGTCAGTTTACTTTTACTTTTACTGTAATTCAATAATTTAATCCTATAATCATATGTTGACAAACGTCAACATTAATTAAAGTGTTTTTTCATAATTTTGGTTTATATAATTCAATAATTATCATGAACAAAAATAATTTAGGGATTTAATAAAAATGCTATCAAATTCAAAGATTAGAGTTGTTTTATCCCTAATATTAACCGATAATGTGACAAACGTGGATAGAATTTGAATAGGACTATCATTCTAACCACACGGAGCATTTCTAGTACAGTGGCATTCCCATTATTTTCAACTTAATTGAGCAAGCGGTTCCAAGCTATTGACACTTACTTTCAGTTCTCGGCAAGGGAACAGCTTTCACAAGGGAAGAATATGAAATTCGTGAGGCGTGAAATCTTCACTTGGCCTATAGTATTTGTCCGGGGAATACAAGCGTAAGTATAGAGCATGTGAATTAAGTCACAACTTTTAGCCAAAAAAGAAAACTCCAACAGACGAGAACTCATGAATTCATAAAAATAAAAAAAATCAGATCAAACATACATAAAATCACTTTTAATAGATAAAGAAGTGAGAATCAAAGCCAAAGTTGAAGTCTTGTTACCTAAAAGCAGTCCCGGATGGAGGGAACGCAGAGAAGAATAAGGTTATATGAAAGGAGGGAAGAGTTCTTTGCTAAAAAGTTCTTTAAAATATATTAATAAATAATTTAATATATAGAAAGTAAGTTAATTATAGTTAGTAAATTAATATATAGTTTATTAAAATATATTAATAAATTATTTAATGTATAGAAAGTAAGTTAATTAAAATATATTAATAAATTATTTAATATATAGAAAGTAAGTTAGTAAATTATTTAAAATATATTAATAAATAATTTTATGATTTTTATTGTATCTTATATGAAGTATAAGATTATTAAAACCCTAAACTGATTGTACTATAAATAACTATATTTATTATATTTATTTTTTATTAAATATTTTTAAATTATTTAAAAATATGTAGAATTTAAAATAATATGATCGAAGCCAATGAGAGTTGGTACAGGTGGTTGAGATTCATGAATTTGAGCTTGTAAGGCCAAGTAAGGTTGTTAGATTATCTTATTTTTTAACATTAACTAACATAATTTCTTGACATCTTTTAAAATCGTCATATAAAAAGGAGAGATAAAAAAAATGACAAATAATTGATTTCGTCATGCTAAAACTATTTATTAGTGAAAAATGTGCAACACCACTAATTCAAATTTAATCATCATTATAATAAATTGTCACTAATACCTATTTTTAATTGAGACGATTTTACAACATCATTATTTTATCTAAATGTCATTAAAAGGTTTCCCACCAAAGAATTTGGTGGGAAGATTTTGGCGCCAAACATATAGTGACAAAAATCAATGGCCATTTTTAAAATTGTAATAAAAGATATACCATTAATCAATAAATATGACGAAAATAAAAAAACGTCACATTATAGTATGTTTTGTGACGATATACGTAACGCCATATAGAAATTTTGTTATAAATTGACAAATTTGTTCTAGTGGTAGAGTCATCACGTGACTACTTTCATTCACTCGTATGCTCGTGGCTGCCATTTATTAAAGAGAGTTCCAGGCAATGCCACGACAAATAAGAGTGTCCCTTTACAGCTATGCTAAAGCATTTATTCGTGATTAAACAAAATTCAGACATAAGGGAGTTCTTAAATAGTGATTTATCATTTAAGCATAATACCATATTTTAATGCCAAGGCTAACCATAGTTCTTTCATGAAAACCTCCTAAGTTCCTTAAGTATAGAACATACAAAATGTGTAAGAATAATTCACAAAGCATCATGCCCTAGAGTCAGTTCTATCATTCTCAACAGTCATTTACATTCAATTTCTAGCCTAACAAGTTCATCATCATCAGGTATCATCAAAACATTTCATCTAACTATCCTACCATTTATTGATGCCATGGCATAACATTATGCTAATACTATCATGCACATGTTCTACAAAGAACATTACCTCCCCCAAACTTGAGAGAAGCATTGTCCTCAATGCCTAATAAAAACTAAGCTAAAACTAGACTACATGTTTTGCAATTCAATGCAATGCAAGGTACTGATAACTCCATAAAAAGACTCTATTGCTATTTTTTTTACTTAAGTTATTTCTCGTCTAAACAAAGTATGCACAACATATTAGTTGCATTTAGGTTATATTTATTTGTGGTGGATAAGTTTTGTTTCGGTAAAATTTATTTGGTTTGACTGATGCTGCTGAGGATAAAGGGTCTGTGTGGATTATGTATGTGCAGGAAATTTACTTAAGAAGAACATTTCAGTCGCGACAATGTAATTTGTAAAGGCCAATGGAACAAAGAAGTTAAAGAAAGTGAGGAGCAGATTTATCTCGCTAAAGCAAGGTTTATCTTGAAAGTTTGAAGCGGATATGACGAAATCGCCTATGTCACATGCCAGCTATACGACTTTCCTCACGTGCAAGGAAGCCCTCAAGATTCTGACAACAGCCAACCGCCTTTCCTTTTTTAGCCTGGACAAGACAATAATGGGTATCTAGGGAATCTTCACTTATGTGAAACCCTAAGAGATTTCCCTTTATAAATACCAGTCATAGCCACTAACGAAAAAAAAAGAAGTTAGGATAGCTTTTCTTGAAGTGTGAGCAAGCAACTGCAGTGCTTCCCCACCATTTACCAACCGACTTTCTTGTTGTCCTCCATAGCATACTGTAGCAGAACGGGGTTCAGGACTCGAGAAAGGCTGATTGCCAGGGTAGGCGCGGTGTTGATCAGAATTGTCACGACAGAGCCCCCAGTTTTGGGAGTCGTTCTTCCTTTGTTCTTAATTTCTTTGTGTAATTGGGGTTGTATTAAAACGATGATACTTGGTTGACTTTTTTATAACACCATGAACTGTCTTACTTGGTGTTAATCTTTGTTTTTCCTAAACATTTATTTTCTGCTTTATGAATGATGAATTATGAATTTTCTCAGGACTATTTTGTTCATTGTTTTAACATTTTGCCTTGACACTGTAAGAGTTTCGAGAGATTGCCTTGTGTCTTGGTGAAACACGTCTTGGCGTTGTAAGAGCGTTGAGAGATTGCCATTTTCCTAGATATTGATTCTTAGATTCGAGAGAATTAAGATAGATATACGTGAACAATGAAATGGATTCGGGATGGTGATGTTTTAACTTGTCTACCTTATAGATAAGGAGCGGGTTTCAATTGACTAAAAGGGATAGATGCTAGAGTATGATAGATAACGATTATAGTTTTCGGTGAGAGGTATTGCTACAACAGCAGTCTAACAAACCAGGGGTTATAGTTAACCCTGACTAGTATAGATATAATAACCACCTAAGAATACTTAGAAATCCTGTCGGGAAGCTTAAGCATGTCATAACAATTCATTCTGGACTTAGAATAATTGCTTGGCATAACAAAAGATTAGCATGATTGCTCTGTGATAAGTCTTAATATGTGAGGTTGTTTTGAATATATTTAAATCAAGGTTTGTCTTTGCTTTATTTTAATTCGATAGTTTTGCATATTTATTTTGTCTCGACCAAACTTTTCTACAACCATATTTTACAATATTTCCTTGTTTTGCTTTATTACTAATAACTTTATAGTTTGACAAGATTATAGGAATTAGCTTGTGACAACTAGTTCTGGTTGTGGTGAATCTTAAAAATATTGGACTCTCCCTAAGGAGATGATAACTCACTTACCCCATATTACTTGATTCGATTGTGTATACCTGTACATAATTTCTTTCCTTAGCATATACATTTACAAGCGATCAAGTTTTTGGCGTCGTTGCCGGGGATTGACAACTAACTAATTTTTTTTTCACCATAACAAGTTTTTCTTGTCACCATATATTTACTTAGTTTAACGTATTTTAATTTTTTTATTTTCTTTTGTAGGTTTTTATCATTGCATGACCTGAGATCTGCTGGTAAACCAGTCAACAATATGGGAGATCAAGCAGATCCTAATGCGACAGTTAATCTTTAGAGAGAAGTTGCAAGACCACGAGCAATACGAGATCACTTGAACCTAATTCTTGATGATCTTAATCCAGGCATCGTGGCACCTGAGATACAAACAACCCATTTTGAGCTTAAACCGTATTTTGAGCTTAAACCGCATTTTGAGCTTAAACCAGTGATGTTTAACATGCTAAATTCCTTCACAAAATTTAATCTTTTTCCTTATTCCCTACGCAATAGAGCAAGAGCTTGGCTCAGTGGAGATACTTCAGGCTTAATGGAATCTTGGGTGGATTTATGCAAAAGTTTTCTACTTCGATACAATCCACCCAATATGAATACACAGATTCACAATGATATTGCAAGTTTTCGCCAAGGAGATGATGAATCAATGTACGAATGTTGGGATAGGTATAAAATTTTACTTCGCAAATGTGTAAACCACAGATTTCATAACTGGACTCAAGTGGTAATGTTTTACTGTGGAGTTAATGCACCTACTCGAATGATGTTAGATGCCTCAAGAAATGACACCTTACTTGACAAATCACCCGAGGAAGCCTTTGATATCCTTAATAGGATAGCAAATAATGACTATCAATTCCCAACTACAAAGTGGGAACCGGTAGAAAAGTCTCTGGAGAATATGAAATTGAGGGTAAGGATTCAGCAGCTGCTTAACTTTCTGCCATAACTAATATGGTAAAAATTTGCAGCGTCCTAATGAGGTGAGAAAAGTCAAGGGAACCAGTAATGCATGCATATTTTGTCATGGCAATCATCATAAGAGTGAATGTCCAGAAAACCATGAGTTTACCAATTTTGTGGGCAATTAGAACTGAAGCAACAATAACCCCTACTACAATACATACAATCCTGACTGGAGAAAACATCCAAATTTTTATGGGGTAATCAAGGAAACAATAACAATCAAGCAGAGAATTACAGTAGACCATAGCAGAGTAACTCGGACCATAAACATTTTCAAAATCAGCATCGTTAGCTGCCCTGGCAAAACACTAAAGGTACACCTTCTTCCTCTAATACCAACTCTAATTCTAACTCCTTGGAAGCTTCATTGCAGGAATTCATAGCCTTGACAAAAGATTTGATAGCTTCAACAAAGGCCCTGATGCACGAGCACTCATCAACAATAAAAAGCCAAGGAAATTTGTTGCAAAGACAACCATCATGGAAAGTAGCAGTGCAATGTACTTACACTAAGGAGCAGAACACAGGTTAACGAGAATGACAAGTTTGGGGAGAAAAACTGAATAATTCTTGCCAAGGCACTACACAACCAGAAGATCAAGCCAAAGATGTGGAGAATGATGAATTGTCCAAAAAGAAGGAAAATGATAAAGGCTCTAAAAATCATCAACCAGATAATGGGAAAATTATGGCCAAGG